CTTCTTTCATCCCCCCAAAAACGTTTTATGAATCCTAGGTATATAAGTATATAAAACAATGCAAACCAAGCCTTTACTGATAATAAAGAAATTATTTTTTACTTTATTTCACTTTAATATTTAGAATTTACTTTAAAACAATTCATTGCTATGTGTATAACTTTTGCCATTTATTGAAGATGAGGGCAAATTTGCATATTGATAACATGATTGTTTTTTTTTTTTTTTTTTTTTTTTTTACATAAAGAATTAAATTGTGCCTGAGTATTTGATAGTACAGGACATAGGCTTTCTTTAGCATTTTGTTTTGTTTTGTTTTGTTTTGTTTTGTTTTGTTTTCTTGGAGTTGACCAGTGTTTGGGTTTTATAATCATCAAGCCTAAGAGCATGGCTTTGCTTCAACAAGAAGGACCAAATAGTACAAGACTATTTAAGGGTTATTTTGGAAATTGTTGGAAATTGTGTCCTAATCCCAAACCAAAATTCACTGAATCATTTAAGTGACACTCATGTCAGCAACACGAGCAGCAATTTTTAAAAGTAAATATTCTGACACAATACAGTGGAAAGGTAAACTAATTTGATACTTATATCCTGAGGGATAACAGTAGGAAAGTATTCTAGAAGTTTTCATATTCTATAAATAAACTGTTATGTTTCTGTATGTGCTGAAAATTTTGTATGTCCAGTGAAATGCTGCAATTCATAAATTTCAACAGTCTTGAATCTAAGCACAGATATCTAGGGCAACATTGTTGTCTCGTGGTGTGATGGCATCCACAGTTGTGTGTTCAGAACCAATGCATTGAGGGCGAGCACCCACCAGAAACATCCAGATTAATTACACATTTGATTTTGAGTTAATTTGGGGTCATTGTATATTTAGAAATTTTTATTTTTGCCACGTTGTTTTATAGGTCACACATGTGTGGGCTCCCAGCCCAGCTAAGAAGCTTTGGTGTAGCCCTCTATTTCATCTATATGATATCAGTAAATAGATATGCAAACACATGACAGACACTTAGGGAGATATAGATACATAGGTACGTGGAGAGAGTAGGCTGTTGCCTTGGGGTCTTAATGAACAAATAAACATGAGATTGACTCAAACACAAGAGAAAATAGAACAATCAAAAACCACAGGAACGGAGCAAGACATTTTTGCTTTTCATAAAAGTACTTTTATTAGCATATGAAACATAAGATAACATTATGGCGTTTCCCAAACAAAGTCAGATTTGTTTTATAGCAAACTTTTTTTTTAATAAATAAAAGTACACTCTAATAAGAAGAGTATACTGTAACGACATGAACAGGTAACATAGTTGCTTCCTATTATCAAGTATGTACTTTGCATATTGTTATGGTTCCGGGCAGGCCACTGGAAGGTTTGTCTACAGCAGAATTAACAGGAACACATGTGTGTTGTGTGCATGACAGTTATGATAAGAATGACCATCCCTAGGATGGCAGGAGTTTCTTTAATTCCATCATAACCCTGTGAAACCTCCCTCTACTGAAACTTGCTTATTCAATACATGCTGACTTCTGACCATTTCGTGTCACTTAAATTTCAAATTTTCCAATTCACTGTAAGTTAAATAATTAAGAATTTACCAAAAAACAGAAGTAGCCTCTGTCTTGCCAGACCTAAGACAAGAGTACAGTACAGATTCATGATTTAGATCAGAATAAAAATCTTTGAAACCATTTTCCAACATAGTGTCAAGATGGAGGAGCTACCGCATGGAGGAAAGCCTAAAATCAGAAAGGCTACGGAGGCATCTGAACCTAAGAGATGGTTTGGGATGCAACACAGGTGTATATGAGACTGGTCCAAGGTGTGACTCACAGGCTGTTTTCTGTTTGGTTGTTTGGTTTGGTTTGTCTTGAAGGTTCAACAGGAGGCAGGCTTTGAGCAGATGGAGCAGATCCTTTTCCTAAATACTGTCTCATCTTGGTACCCTCAATTTTCTCAGCTTACTCCCTCCTCTTCTCTTACTGACATATCCTGATATATCCTCAGCCACCTCAGCTTCTCTATCAGGCCTCTCTCTCTGACCAGGAAAAGGGAACACAGCTGAGTCAACCCAGTCAATCACTGGGACTCTAGCAGGGAGAGAGAAAAGACCATCTCAGACCTTTCTCCACGCTCTAGGCAGGGTGCGGCTCTGCAGACCGCAGGAGCTGGGTCTTGGCACTCAAAACCACAAGGAGGATAAGCCCAAGTGCCTGGCAGCCTCAGGATCCAGAGTCAAGGTGACCCTCTTCCAGGAGTTTGCTCCAAAGCAAGACTCTCGCGGCAGTTCTGGAAACACGTGTTGACCTCTAGACTCATTCTAGGTCATCAGGATTGGGAAGGAGGTGCTACTGACATCTAACCTAATGCTTCTAACTATCCTATAATGCACAGGAGGGCTTCCTACGGCAAAGGTATATCCAGCCCAAATCTCCAGTCATGAGGATGAGAGGCAAGCCCTGCTCTGAGGACTTTGGTTTCACACACAGGTACACTATACACTATACACATCTGACTGGTATACCTCAGCTATCCATCCTTCCGAGAGATGACTCTGGGAGGGGACATTAAACCGAGTCCTTAAGAGTGACACTTTGCAGCATGACGGCGAGGGTGGGAACGTAACCCCAAGTAAAGTACAGCATCTCTGTACACTGCACCACTGACCCCTTCCCAGCAACAAGGGGAGCTGGTGAGAGGTTCTGCTCTTAGACAGCATGCCTTCATCTGTTACTTTTCTTGTCTCTGGGACAAAATGCTTGACTGAGACAGTCTCTTAGAAAGGATTTATTTCCCCCTCAGTTCCATGGCGGGAAAGCAGAGCAGAGTTCACAGCTGTAAGAGTGGCTTCCGCCCGCGGTGCTGAGAGTGTGGCAGCCCTCTCACATCTCAGCGGCCCTCCGTGAGGCAGAGCGCTCAGACTGGAGGCAGAGCGAGTGCCAACCAGTGACTCACTTCTTCCAACCAGGCCTGGCGTCCGGAAGGTTCCACAGTCTCCTCAAACAGCATCAACCGAGGACTAAGTCTCTTCACAATGAGCAGGTGGGGAAACGTTCCACATCCAAACCATAACACCGGCTCTTGAAGGACCTAGGCCAGTGCTTTTCAACCTTCATAACGCTACAACCCTTTAATACAGCTCCCCACGTTGTGTTGGCCCCCCCGCCATAAAATTATTTTTGCTGCTACCTTATAACTGTAATTTTGCTACAGTTATGAATTGTAATGTAAATATCTGATAGGCAGGATAGCTGATACCTGATTTGTGTTACTTGGAAAGGATCCTTTGACTTACACACACACACACACACACACACACACACACACACGGGGCCACAACCTACAGGTTGAGAACCACACTGGGATAAAGGATTGAGTCTTTCAGGTCTTCAGGTCTTCATGTTTGCCTAAATCATCTCCTAGACCCAGAAGGTTTGCATAATCCAGTCCTTTCTTCCCCAGCCAGGGAGTGTGTGTGTGTGTGTGTGTGTGTGTGTGTGTGTGTGTGTGTGTGTGTTGACACCCATATAATCATGGAATAGAGCTCACTATAGCCGAATGAAACCTACCTTGCATGTCCTTTATCTTCCCTCTCTCTCTCGAGCAACACCAGTTCGAGGTTGTTGGAAGCCAGTGACACACCCAGTTGGAGAGGAGGCAGTGGTGAGCCAGTGAGGCATGAGCCCACCAAACACACAAGAAAAAAGCCCAGAGAGAATTTTTATTAGCCTAATGATACCCCAATGGTGAGAAAACTGAAGAAATAGCTGGTCCAAGGTCACATGGCCAGCAAATGGTGGCGCTGGAGCAGAACACGGCTCTTAGGATATGGCTGTTGAAAGGACAAGAGCCGTGGACCGAGGCAGCGTACTGGAGAGCAAGGCCTCCGTGCAGAGGTGGCGTCTGTTACCTGCATAAACACAAACTGGGCGAGTCTCTGCCACCTGGTTGAACCCTAGTGCCAAAGGCTCTAGGCAGAAGCTCATGTAAACACTTCTTAGACCTACAGCCAAATGCCCTGTCGCTGTTGGCTGGGCAGGACAGGCCTGGCTAAAAATAGAAGGGGCTCTCAGGTCCAGCTCCCTAACAGCAGCCGGCAGCTCCCAGTTCCCTGGCCTCTTCTCTCTCTCTGTCTCTGTCTCTCTCTGTGTCTTTCTGTCTCTGTCTCTGTCTCTGTCTGTGTGTGTGTGTGTGTGTGTGTGTGTGTGTGTGTCTGTCAGTCTCTCTCTCTCTCTCTCTCTCTCTTTCCTTCCTCTCTTCCCTTCAGGCAATAGCTAGTCTTACTGAAAGAATGGACATTCCTTCTCGGGCAAAATATGATTGTTAGCTTGATGCCCAGCGGACATGACCCGAGGTCTGGAACAGCCATCAATGAGAGTTGGAGGCCTCACCATAACAGCCTCAATCTATGAAAAGAACTATCGCCTTCCGTAATCCACTCAAGGGAACAATGAGGTCAAGGCAAAAAAAAAAAAAAAAGAAAAGAAAAGAAAGAAAGAAAAGTACCCAATACCCGCACACCGTGCAGCTCAACCTCCAGCTCCTTGCATTTCTTTTCCAAAACTAAACCAGCTCTGATTTGGGATTTCAGAATCAGCCAATGACTCCTAAGGCAGCACCCAGTCCAGCTGAAGGGAGAACTTTGCTGGAGCCGAGGACCGGCACTTCCTTTGCGCGGAGAGGGAGGGTCAGAAAGCCTTTTGAGTGTGGTCTAGGTGCAGCTCAGGGCCCGGCCTGGGGATTTCCTTTCAAAGGTGACTTAGAGGCACTTCAGGAGGGTAGCGCCCTCCCGGGCGGGTCCTAATGGTAAATTTGGCCGAGTCAGCGAAACTCGGTGCCCGGCGGACCTGGCGGCGGGGCAGCGCCCTCTCCCGCGCCCTCGCCCTCTCCCGCGCCAGGCCGCGGAGGCGCACGGGGCCATTTGCAGCGCAGGCAGCCTCGGGAGCAGCCGCGGCGCACCGGCCGGGAGGGAGGCGGCACCATGGAGCTGAAGCAGGACAGCAACGCCGCCGTGGCCATAGACATGCTGCTCATCGTGCACTCGGAGAAGAGGCGCGCGGCGCAAGCCACGCACTCGGACCCGCAGGCGGACCCGGGCGCGCTGCTGCAGAACCGAGGAGGTAAAGCGCGCCTGGCCCCGGTCCTCAGGATCCCGGGACACCTCAGCCACCAAGCCCCGGGGGGCTCCCGAGCACCACCCTCCACGCACAGCAGCCCGAGGCCAGCCCAAACCCTCTCTCTCTCCCCCACCTCTGTTTGTGCCCGGGCGCCACAGCACCCGCGTCCCTTGGCAACGCACAGCGCAGTGGTTGTCCTAGGTTGACTCCACAAGCAGGCCTAAGGGTGCTCTGTCATCTCAGGAGCCCGATTCCTCCCGCTAGTCCCCCGAAGGGTGCAAAACACGTTGGAAAACGTTCCGCAGGAAGAAGCCAGGGCCTCGGGCTGATCATGTGTAGCAGAGGCCTAGACCCCAGGCAGCATGAAGCATACCATAGGGCACCTGGGACCCCAGAGGACCCTTGTATTGAGTCAAACTTTGAGATAACGTAGGGCCTCAGTTTCCCCCTTTCTTGAGCCTCTCTTTTCCAGCCTCGAACAGATAGATATAAGGCATGAATGGGTGAAGGGAACCTGGGCTGGGGTGTGGTGGAGTGGGGTTTGAAGTCTCCTGACGGCACTTGAATTCAGTTTCCAATTTACTTTTTCTGCAGACTTGGGGAAATGAAAACTGTCAAGTGATTGCTTACAGGGTGATTGCAGAAAGCAGGACCTGCCTCTATTCTCCACACACACAACTTGAATAGGGTATAAATGGTGCTGAGTGGAGATTCAGAAAATCCCGAAAAAGTGTGGGGGCCTCACGGCGCTGGTCTTGGGAGAAATCTCCTGAGGCTGGCTTAAGGATCTCCGAGGCTAACGCTGCACCATTTCTTTAGGAGAGGTGCTTGACAGCTACGCAGAGAAAGATGAGGGCAGTCTCCCACTGTCTCTCGGCTCCGGAGTTCCTTAGGAACCCCTGCTGTTGCTCTATCTTGCCTCCTTTGTCCCCAGAGCCTCTGTGCACACAGGGCACCCACTGTCCGTCCACCTGCCCTGCTAAGACAATGGTTCTAAAGACAACCTTGACCCACCAGCCTCATGGGCTGGAGCCCTGATACAGCTGCAGGGAGCTGAGAGAGAGGCAGTTAGGGAAGACAAGGCTGGAGGGCTGGGAGAGTTCACAGCAGTTAGAGTTTAGGAGACTGTGGGGATGGGGGCTCTTTAGGTTAATCTATTCAGTTCTCTGGTTCTCCACGGCTGCACCCAGGAGAAAGGGATTAGACCCACTCAGGGTATTTGGAGGAGGAAGAAAATGTCCTCGACCTTCTTGATGGAAATGTGATGGCTCCTGTCACATGTAACACAATCCAAAAGACTGCTCCCCATATATAGTGAGCGAGGCCCAGTTTCAAGGCGACCCGTTAGTCCCCATCACCCAGTCTGAGTCCCTTCCCTTCCTATCTGTCCTAAAGTGTCTGACACCAGAGAATATGTAGAGAGAAGCCCTGAAGTACTGGGTATCAAAACTGCCCTCAAGCTACCTAAAACCTACCAAAAATGCCCATGACTCCAGACCAGCATACATACTTTGGGCCTGACTCAGGGGGTAAAACACCTCTACTTGAAAGGTACTGGTATTTTTCCACAAACATCTTCCCGATGAAGGTTTCTTGAAGATGCTGGGTAGTGGAGAACGGTGGAACCGTGTCCTTTAATCCCACGCCAAAGTGGAAGAGGAAGACGGGGTACAGCCTCCAGAGTCTACCGCCCACAGAAACCCTAGGCTGTACCGACCTGTGTGTCCACGCGTTGGGACACAGCCTGAGGGAAAAAAGCACTGAGTCAAACTAACTGTTTGGAGGTCTCGTGCAGATGCCCAAGAATGGGAAAGAGCCCTGCTGACTTTGAGGAGTCTCTTCTGGCCCTCCACCCCTACTCCACAGGCTAGTTGCCCCCTGAGATGCAGCTACAGGACGGCGAGAATAAAGCTCAGTTACTGTCACGCGGCAGACACTGTGGCCTTGCAGCAAAGAGGAATCAGAGGGACGAGAAGGCTGGGAGAGTCACGGGGAACTCATGCTGTAGGGCTGCCAGAGTCTCTCTCACTTCCCAGCATTCTCCCAGCTATTTCCTTAGAACAGCGCTTCCCACAAAGCAGACCACAGAAATTTCAGGAAAGATGAGGGGAAGGGAAGGCTGAGGAAGGCTTGGGGGCTTCTGAATGGGCGAAAGGTTAGCGAGCCACACCTGAGACTGAGCTTTCTGGGAACACTGCTATCAAGTGTGCCAGAGAGCCCGGTCTGGTGGTGATACCTTTGCGGACAACAAGGTCAACTAGACAGTGCTCCCACACCAGAAACGTGTTTTATTGCCATGGCTCCCACTGCCTGGACATATATTGGTTCTCCGCCAGGAACTCCACCTCTCAGCTATCACTTCCAGCCACTGCCAGGGAGGGAGCTTCCCTTCCCTTCTGCATTGCGTCATCACCAGAACAGAGCACAGGTGCATCTGCCGGGTCGTGCCTAGACCACACCGGCCCATACTCTAGCTGCAAGGGATGCCAGAAAAGCAGGCAACTGTCATTTTCCACTCCCGTAGGGAGAGATGATCTTCGCCCATGCTCCCTCGCCCCATTTGAAGGTTCCCTACATACAGAAATGGGCAGAGAAAACTCTCGAAAAAACAATGCTTTTGTATTTATGTGTTGGAGAGACGGAAATGGGTATTGGGCATCTGTATAGTAAAATATCCTTCTGGGTAACCCAGAGAGCCAATCCCACCATCACTAAAAACTGCCATTCTAACATTTTAAAAATACTTTTAATTTAAAGGTTGCATTTGCTTCCTCAACTGTGTCTCATTCAAGGACAGCCCGTCTCAGATCCCGAGAGAACTGATTCCCACCAGCCTGGTTCAGCACAGATGGGTCTGTAAGTGGTAGGGTGGTGCATGCCACCTACCCCAGAGTCTCACACCAAGTCCTTTTCTCACAGGATTCCAAGGTGTCAGAAATGGAATCCGGAAGTGGCAAGAATTGGAAGGAAACGACTTTCAGGGTAAATCTCTTTTTCTTTCTATTTTCTATTCGGTCTCTGTAGTTCAATGCCCCGAAAAATAACTTCAGGAGTTGGGTTCTGTTCGTTGGGAAACTGTCCCTAAAATCTAATCACTGAGCAAACATGGCTGCTTGCAGCTCAGCCAGGCCTCTAGGCCACTGTGAGCCTGGAAAGCTTCCCCTGGCATCGGGGCTCCTGTTTTTTTGGAAGCTGCAGCTAGGGAATGATGCCATGAACTTCGGCACCCATTTGTTTGCTGAATGGGCTATAGGAGAGGTTTTAGCTTCACTTGGCTTAATGAGGGTTATGTGTGTTCCCACCAGAGGCAGGCCTGCTCACATCACAAAAACTATCAAGATTTAAATTGGTTTTCCCCCATTATGCCCCCCCCGCCGCCAACAGACTAGGATAGTGGCCTGCCTTGAAACAGTATTGCATGAGGCCTGATGGAGCCAGTCAAGGGTTCTATAGTCCCCCACTGCCCTGAGCTCAAGAGTACAGTTAGAGGTTTGTTTCCAAAGCCTCTTCTCTCTGGTTCCAGGCAGTGCTCTTTCCTGATGGCCTTGAACCTCTCTGAAACACAAAGGATGGGCCAAATATAGTGAGCCTTGTCTTGTGTTGCTCCAAGATTGATTCCCCGGCTTCCAGGGAAAACTATCAGTGGTGATATGCATGATGGAAACACAAAATTCAAATAATAATCAGACCCCCACTCCCAGAATGCTGTTAGGGAGCCCTAGACTCCAGCCATGTGAACCATGGAATCAAAAGTCTGACCCTCCACAAATGGGGAAACAAGAATACAACTGAATAAGAGTGAATAACCATGTCACCAGCCTTCAGGCAGTAGCAAAAGGAAAATCAAAATATAAAAACTAAACTCATCCGTATGTTTATTCCTTCAATAGCTATCTTACTCTGTGCCAGGCACAGGTTTAAGTGTTGAAGATTAAATAGTTAACAGGCCAGTCAAAAGCCCTGTCCTTGTGGGGCTGTACTCAAGTGATTGCCATATCCCTGTGTCCCTCACCTTGTCCTTGGGAAGGAGTCATCCTCAAGATGCAGAACACATCCCTCTGCATCCTGGCTAATGGATCCATGCAAAGGTTTCCTTGACGGTTGCTGAGCTGTGGGAATGGTGGCAAAGTCTGACACTATATTACACTGTGGACCAATGAGAAGCCTAAGAGCTTGTGTGCATGCATGGTTGGTCTAGGTGTGAGTACGAGAGTGAGCAAAATGAGCCACTAGTGGATGCAAAGGGCATCCTTGAATGCTTGCTTTTCTCTCTTTCCTTGTGTGAGCCATCTGACAACCATCGTAGGGCCTTTCGGGAAACACTGAAGTTCATTCTACTTTGAGCATTTTCCAGGTCAGATGAGAGAATAGTGAAAAGACAACTCTCAAGATGGTTATTAAAAAAAAAAAGTTAAGGATTGAAGATTTAGTACAAACCTAGCTGCCTAGAGTATCTGCCGAAGTCCTAAATCCAGAAAACATAATGGTTCTGCCATCTCACCAACATGTATGGTTTTAATGTAAGACTTCAACTATCTTTTAAATGGCATTCATGCATGCATGGGGGAAATGCAACAGCTTCCTTTTATGTCTTTGATGCCAAGATTCAGGACACTAGCACTGGAACTAATCTTGTCACGTATGTGCCTTGTTGGAACCCAAGTCACCCAGTCCTGGTAACCGACAGGCTGTCCAGCCCTGTCAGTTGGAGGAATTTCGTCTCAGAAGGAAGAAGCCCAGCGGCATGTGCTGACAGAGTATGCACGAATGTGACTAAGCACGGTGTTGATCCAAAAGGGCACATTTGTCCTCTTGTTGCGACTCTGTACACTCCCCGGGCTTGGGTGTTGGCGAGAGGAAGGGTGGGGAGCCTGAAACACTCCAAACTTTTGGAAGCAGCAGGTGTTTGGGCTGAGCCGCCCTTCTCCATAGCTTGCCCAGCAACGAATGGGCTTCCCCTGCTGTGATTGGCTGCTCTCCTTGGTCCTGGCTGAAGTCTGCCTAGCAGCAGTGTCTGGTGCCCTACAGCTAGAGAGGAACCACTTGTGCAGCCCTGACTATAAATACCCCACAGGAGCTGTGCCAGCCAATCACCCTCCTTGAGGATTCCCTTCCCAGCTCCTGTTTCCTCATGGAGGATACAGCCAGCCATGCCCACAGAAGCAGCCTCCCTGTCCTCGCCTGAGTGGCCTAGAGCTCTAGCCCAGCATGCCACATGGATCTGGCCTCAGCCAGTCAATCATGTCTGGAAGCCTCAGGGGGGAAGGGGGCTTTTCGAAGGAGAAGGCCTCTGCATGCAGGTTCTCCAAAGCAGCCCCTGCTGGGTGGATCTAGCCCAGCTCAGTGCCTCGTCCCACCTTGACCTACCCACGTTGACCAGCTTCTGCTTGAAGCAAGCATGAAGAGCACCAGGTGGCCTGTGGGACCGACTGCTCTGTTGAGGACAACCCTAGAAATATGCTAGTTCCCAGGCTGAACCACTGGTTACCCTAAAATGAGATCCACTCTAGGCCACAGGGAGATGACAAAAAGTAAGGGAACTGGAGTGCAGGAGCTTTCTTCTGCCATAATCCTGGCCCTTCCCCCGGACTCTTTCTATATCCCTGAAGAGGAGGTTTAGGGCCTGCCTCAGTGAATACAGTCTACAGCCACAGAGTAGCCACAAAGCAGAAATGAGTTCATGCCTAGGATGGACAGAGAAGACTATTTGATGGCCTGTAACAAGAAAAAAAAAAACCATCTCATTTCGGCATCCTGACCCCACTGAGCTATAAAGACATGTAAATATCCCCAGTGGGTACAGAAAACTCAGACATGTTGAGTGTCCTGTAGCACTGGTGAAACTAAGCCAAACTGAGTGCCCTCCCCCACTCCCATCCTCGGGGCTAGAATCAGAGGCAGGCTGCTGCCATGCAATCCTCAGAAGGAGGAAGGAAGCTGACCTAGGAGTTGGGAAACTTGTAGAGTTCAAGTACCATGTTGGAACCTCCCAGGCACTCCTCAAAGAGGTACAATGATCAATCGGGCATCTGTGTGTGAGAAAGTGTTTTGGAAATTGTGGCCAAAAGTCCAGAGTGGTGGTTCCATAGACCACTGGAGTGAATCCTAGCCTGGACAAGCTTCTGCTGAGAGGCAGAAGGGTGGGCGCTTGTGGACCCCCACAGATGTGCACACAGTGGCAGTAGATGTACTCAGCCCGCCACAAGCATACAGTTTTCACAGGTGCACCCAGCTCGCTCTGTCCCCTGCCCAGAGAACATTATACCATGGTCACAGTGGTCACTTGCCACCTTCTTTGTCTTTCGTAATTAGGAAACTTGCCGGAGAAGCAGTGCCTTCAGCAGCCTCAGGTCATCACTTCCTATGACAACCAAGGTAAGAGACTAATTGCTAACTGCCATCTCTCCTGGGGCCGTGTGCCTGGCTGTGCCACCCCAGCCAGAGAGCCCAGGATGTGGAGATCAGGCCACAGGGAGCAGCTCTCCTTTCTGATCCATGGAGGTTGGAGCCTCCTTTTGTCTCCCAGCATCCCTGAGGAAGAACTGAGAAGCTATGTGGTCCAAGATCACCCTTCCCCTCTAGGCAAGAAATGAAGTCCACAGATTACAGAGCCCCACTGTGGCTGACATCATTGTTCGTGCTAGAGCTAGCACTCACTGAGCACAAGGCACATGCCTGGGACTCTGCCAACCCCTATACACACTGAAGTATCAAAGCAACCCTAACTGGGTGATAGTCTCACTGCTCTAAGGATGAGGAGACCAAGATTTGGGATGGCTGGCCAGCAAGATGGTTGGCCAGCTGTCTGGTACCTAACCCTCTAACTGCAGCAAGGTCTCAACTGTTAACCTTCACACGGCTGGGCTTCTGCAGCTCCCTGGAAACTGATCTCCCGCTGGCTCACAGTATCCAAATCCTCCCACATCCTGAGGCACAATGGTTTCTTGCCCTCTCCTGATGATGAATTTCCTGAAGCATGCCACTTGGTCCTGAGTTTGCTGCAGCAAGGTGGAACCACCTAGTCCTCTTTTTAGGGTCTTCGCTTTCCCCAAAGTGCTCTGGGTGCTTGGAAATGGAAGGCAAGGGCACAGCTCGCCAGGCTGATTCTGCAGTTGTCTAGATCTGAGAATATCATGAGGCAGAAGTGAGGATTCCAAAACTATGGCTGGAGGAGAGCCTATTTAGAGGACTCCAGTACCCACCATGGCTCTTCATAAGATGCCTGGGGGGTTTCAGGCTCAGCCCAGGGAGTTGGCCACCATTGATGATGCCATAACATGCCAGAAAACTATGCTATGGCACACAAGGGGTCACAGGCACCCCCTTTCCTGAAGAACAAGGACCAAAGCAGGCCATGCTGCATCTCTGACATTGATTTAGCTGTACAAGCCTCACAACAGAGATATCTTGCTAGAAAGATCATGAATGGGTGGCCCATTATCTCATGTGGAGAATAAAACAAAGGCTCCTGTCTGCGGGAGCTGAGTCCTAGTGAGAGGGAAAGACTGAAGGAGAAGTTAAAACAGGAGGGATGGTGGAAGGCAGGGATTGTAGATCAGTTTCCTGCAGCTCATTGGCTAAGAACAGCAAGAAGATTTCACCTTAACCTTCTGGGACTGAGAAGTCCAAAGTTAGCATCACTGGGCAAAAGGCAGGTGTCAGCAAGCCTGGAGCCTTTGAAGTTCCATTCCTTGCCTCCTTCTGCTCCTACAGGCTGCTAGCATTCCTTGGCTTTATGGCTGTGTCATTCCAGTCTCTGCTTCCATTATCACATTACCTTCTCTCCTTTTAAGTAGGCAAGACTCCTTGTGTCTAATTCTTATCAAGTTATATGTGGTCACACTTAAGGCCCAACCAGATAAGCCAGAATAACCACTCTGAAATCCATAGCTTTGGTACATCTGCGGAATTTCCTTTTCAGGCAGAGTCTGCACAGATATCCTGAAAATTCATTATTCAGCTCACGATAAGCTAATAAAATAGCTAATCTATGGTAAACAGAATAAATGAGGCTAGGGGTGTGGCTTAGTGGTTTGACTAGCATGCATAAGGCCTTTTGGTCTGATCTCTATTATCCCTCCCCAAACCCCAACCAGAAAAAATAAAGAACAGATGAGCAGTAACCAAGACATAACATCTAAGTGAGAAAAGAGGTCGCAGGACAAACACAAGGGCATCTGGGGAGAGATTTTAGCTGGGAGCAATGGCAGACATGTGTCTGGTGGGGGTAGAGAGTGGGTGGCTGTGGCCAAGGGAAAAGGGGCCATGAGCAGAATAAGAAGTAGAGAGTGAGACAGAGAGGACTCAGGGCAGGACTTACAGGCCTGTGGGCTGCCTTCTGATCAGAGTATGATTAGAAGACATTAGATGGCTTCAGACAGGATGCCGCTAATGTTGGAGGAATAAACAGAAGGGGGAGGGTTGGAAGCAAAGAGGAATCCTCTGGAGGTGCTGTCATGATATCAGACGGTAAGCGGTTTTCCCATGTTGTGATCTGGACTGAAGTATAAGCAGTAGGAAGTGGGGAGACTGGAGGGAAAAAGGTGAAGAATTCAGACTTGGCTCTGTAAAGACCTGGCATTCTGGAAACAGTGAGGAGTCACTATTTATTTTGTGTGCTGCATTCCTACTCATCTGGCAATCCCAGAACTCCTCAGGCTCTCTTCTGGGGACCCTGTCAGGCCCAGCACAGCTTCCTTGGCAGGTACAATCATAGCATGGACCAGAGGCAGAACATGAGGTGTGTGCTGGACATGAAGCTAAGCACCTTTCACGGCTCCTCATTTCTTCCCCTCAGCCACATTTCATCAAAAGTTGCATACAGCTGCATTCCATCTCACAAAAGAGAGAGAGAGTGAGAGAGAGAGAGAGAGAGAGAGAGAGAGAGAGAGAGATTCACTTTATGGATGGAAAAGTGAAGAAACTGAGGCACAGAGGCCTCTAAACAACTTGCCTGAAGTTAATCAACTAGATAGAACAAGTCATACCCGGAATTTGAACATGTCCATGTACCCTCAAAGCCAAATGGGCTTAACTTCTGTACCACACCACAGGGTAAGAAAAGAGGTAGTAGGACAAATGCAAGGGCATCTGGGGAGAGATTTTAGAGTGCATGGGACCCCTCTAACAGAGCTGGTTTGAATACAACCTCTCTGCCTCACCCCAGCAAGAGATCCAAGGCTCCAGGTAGAGTTTGCTTTTCAGAATGTTTCAGCTTTTCCCTTCTGCCTCAGCAATTTGTTTGGGGGTATATATAAAATATGGGATCTTAGTGCAAAGGGGCTTTGGAATGGATCTGCAGTGGGCGTATGAGTTGGACAGCGATTACTTGGAGATACTGTGGCTTCAGACCCTCAGGGTTGTGGCAGAGGAGTCAGTTTTGAAATCACACCCATCATGCTTGTTCCCAGTTTTCATGGCTGACGGCTTCCCAACTACTACGTCCTGGATGCAGAGAGCACACGTCTTTTCAGACCTAGCCACGCATGGTTTGTTTGAGACTGCCCTGAGGATGACGATTGTTTTAACTAAGAGTCTCCTGGCTGTACATGCTATAGAAAAGTATGTCCAAGAGGGTATGTCCAGGCTGTATACTGAGAGACTCTTTTAGTCAATGGTGCTGAGTATCTGACATAAATCCTGGGACTCCTCTGTATACCTGTCTACCCTCATGTACATGCACACACACCACACACACACACTCACACACACACTCTTGCCTGGAGGTATTTGTTAATTGATCAATGCTCCTGGCAGCCACTTCCAATCAGTCAGAGTTAATGAGCAACATGAAACCCACTTGCCGTGCCCACATTAGGTATTCCAAGTAAATTAAGCCTTTAGACAAATGCTGATTGAAACCTGGAGCCATTAGGAGAGGTGTCATGTGGGAGATGTCACCTGACTTGGTAAAAGGCAAGCCTAGGACAGTGCCCACCTAGATTTGGTACCCTTTATGCACCTCTGCCATTGAGAAAGAAATGAAGGAAGGCCAATGGGGTTTAGAAAAGGGCCAGCCTAGAAACCACTTCCTAGGGGTAGCAAGAAATAATCCCTAAAATGCTTTTACTAAATGGCCAAGGCTGCATTTGGATGACAAATGAATACCTGGGGAAGAGTACTGTGAGTGAGGCCAGCCAGGCCATCCAAAGTCCCAGGAAGGGCACCTTATGCTTGGTGGTCAAGGTCGGTGTAACTGCACCTGCTTGGATTTTCCCCGAAACTCTTCATGCTGAGAGTTGGATCCAGTTAATGCTTTTTACTAAAATCCCAGTTTTATTTGATCTAAAAGTGAGGTCATTGCAGTGTTTCCTCCTCTAGTAAATGCTGTCCATCTTGACACAGGCCATCCCTGGGGGTAGAGAAGTCTCTCAGCTGGTCCCCTCAATCTCTAGAGGAGTGCAAGAGTCCAGAATGAGGACGAAAGGTTGACTGCATTCAGAACAGGACAGCAGCACGGCTTAGGGACAGCCTGGTCCTGGGCAGGTGATAAAGAGGATTACATGGATGACAGAAGGGGTCCAAATGATGACAGAGGGAGCTGCTGGTCTACAGCCCTCCCCAAACATGAGGCCACCTGCCTGTCGGCCCCAGAAGGTTTGTTTCTTGGCCCCATCCTTCACAAAGAAACATAGCTGGATGGGGAGTGTCTGGATGTACCTGAGTAAGGAGAACTGGGAGGAAGAAGCTCACTGTCTAGCCCCAGATCAAAAGCCGATCACCCTCACGGCTCCTTTAAGTTACAGTTCTATTAGCCCAGTAATCTCCAAACCATGTGTGAAAACAAAACAAACAGACAAACCAACACTGAGTCAGACAGACTCCTTTGCTGTGGGGCTGAAAGCATTGAGGGTTGCATCCCACAATAAAAAGTATGTACACGGAGCTTTCCCCAATTCACCTTTTACAAGGCATCTTGTGGCCACACACCCCTTTGGAAAACAGCTCAGAAAGGGATGAGGAGAAAGTGAAGAGGCCAAGTTGACCAGACTCATAAGGTGAATATGCCTTGGATGATGGCGGCACCTGACCCTCTGAACAGAATGGACTCAAGCCCTGAACTATGAAACACTCAGCATCTTCATCATAGGATCACAAGGCTGGTTTCGCTGGCAGTGGATGTGCTAAATCCTACATTTTAAAGAGGAATGCTGGGCTAGCGATGGCTCAGATGTTAAGAACATTTGGTCCACCATCATGAGGACTAGCATTTGGATCCAAATGCCCACATGCCAGGCCAGGCATCCTCTTAAATTCCTGTAACCCAGCTCTGAGGCTGGCAGAGACCAGACACTCTCTGAGACTTGCTGGCTTCTAGCCTAACTGAAACACAAGCCCCAGCTTCAGGGAGAGACTCTGCCTCAAAGAAATAGGTGGAGAGTAATGGAAGAGACCTGATACCCTCTTCTGGCCTTTACACACACACACACACACACACACACACACACACACACACAGAGAGAGAGAGAGAGAGAGAGATGTGCCCCACACACAATATACATATACTCACACAGACACACACATTAGCTAATTTATTAGTTAGTTAATAATTAAATATTTTAAATGAATGTTAATCTTTTTGGTCTTGAGAAAATATACTACATTCTGTCTTTGGTCTCTTTGACATGCAAAACAGGTTTAAAAGGAATATAAGAAAATCAATAATGTTTTTCCATAAGAAAATAATTACAATAAATTTAACAAGGAATTACTAAAAAAGGACCCTTATATAAAAAATTAAAATTTAAATTAAAAAAAAAGAACCCTTTCTTACAAAACCATCAAGGGAAACATAATAAACCAGGTTTTAAAAAAAAATCAACACATAAGACACAAATTGAAATAGTAAATAAAATATAAAAAAACAACACAATGCTAAAAGTTGAAGAAATACATAAAACAATAAGGTACCCTTCATTAAAAAAAGAAGAAAAAACCGAAGGATGCCTGAAAGCAGGTGCCAGTGAACTTATCCGGGACGTCTGTGTTATCTGCTACCACAGGACTCGGCTAGTGGCACTGCGAGCTTCCAGACCTGCAGCTCTGCTGGACAGCCACGGTCCACGCCACAGCCGGCTGATCTGGGCTCTTGGCTGGCCTGCGCCGGCTGTCAGCTGGTGGGCTGGCTGGAGACCAGATGGTTTCAGATAGCCTCACCTGAGCAGCGATGCTTGCCCACACTCTGCTGCACACACAGCAGTGTGGCGCAGATGCCAAGAGTGCAAGCAAGCATTGCGAAGCCTCTCCAGGACTAAAGCAGGCCTTGAATAATAACACGGCTTCTGCCACATACCAACTGGCCGTACTGACTCATGAGGACATTCAAGGGGTGATGTTACACCTCTCGTTGGGTGGAGGACAAAGTGTGGGCAATTTTCCTGTCGACCACCGCAAGGATGAGCAAAAAAGCATTCTCTTCCCCATCCTGCCCCCGGCTCCCACCCCATAGATGGGATCATAAACCAATGGAACCGTTCGTGGGGAAGTTGGCCAGTGTTACAAAAAGCCCCATTCCCTCCCATCAGTGTTTAAGAATTCACTCACAGGAATGGATCTGAATGGTGTCAAAGATGTCTTTATCCTGATGCTCATCACATCGTTGTTTACCGTAGCCAAGGACTTGGGAAGTGCGAAGTTTCCAATACACACGAAGTGAATGTGAGTCCTACTCCCTCTTACTACCAGCAGGGGACATTCTCTGGAGCACACAGAAGCCAAGCCCCCTGATGGTTAACTACTTCCCTATAGTTGCCGGGTCTTCCCTTTCAGTCACTGAGAGAAAAGTGTTTTGAAGTCTCCAACTATAATGCCTATTTGTCCGTTCCTCTTTATAATTCTGTGAGTTTTGTTTCAGATATTTTAATACTCTGTATTCGGGTGAATATATGCTTGACATTGCCATATCTTTTTGATAGGCTGACTTTTTTCACTGTTTTATGTAATACTTCTCTATCTCTGACATCCTCGCTCTGAGTGGGTCTGTTATTGAGCCAATTGTCTCTGTCTCGCTGAATCTGAAAATGTCTTTATTTCATTCTCACATGGCATTTTTATTGGACAGAGACAGGTAATTCCTTTCAGGCTTTTTTAAAGATCCCACATGCTTCTGACACGGTTTCTGATGAGAAATCTGTAGCAACCTGGTGCGTAATGTTATCATTTTTCCTTAGCGTGTTGGGGGAGCTTTCCTTTCAGCGGTGTGATTACATCATATCTGGACTTGGATCTTCTTTTATTTATCCTGTTTGGGACACACCCAAATTTGTCAAATTTGAGTCGCCTGTTGTTTCTCCAGATACTTTTCTGTCCACTTGATTTCTCTTCTTGTCAGTGACGTGAACAATGGACTTCTAACTGTGGTCCTGTGAGCCCCAAAGCATTGCTGGCTTTTCCTGTTGTTCAGACTGGACCCTGTCCGCTGTTCTCTGGCTCTTTCCTTTTTCATGGAGAATACTGTAACCTGTCTTCTATTTCAGTGTTAAATCTTAAATCTTCACTTGGCTCTTTACATCTTCCTTGTCTTTGCTGAGTTTTGTATCTTTCCATTTATTTCATAGTGGAAATAAGTTGGCCCTGACTTTTCAGAGCATGGCCATCGTGTCACTTTAACTTCTTCGGATTCAATGTGGGTTGTCATGGGATTGATGTTGGTTGGTATCTTTTCCCTCTCAAACTGATGTCTTCCCAGACATTCTGCTGAGTACTTTTGAGTAGTGGACTCTGCAAGGCCCATCTGCCTGCACAAGCCACGAATCGGCCTTTGCAGGGCCTGTCTGCCTACATGCACCATGCAGCATCCAGTTCAGAGGGAGGACATTGTTTTTCCAACAGAGCTCAGTACTGAAACTGTGGCATTGTGCATGGCATGAGCCCTGTGATGTACAGCTCAGAGGTAGGAGCTTATCTGTAACTTTGGGGAATTATACCCTTGAGGTCCACCTTCATCACCCACTTCCTGTTCCTCTGGCCTAAAAGCTGGAGCTTTGGTCCTTTGACTCTGCCATATACTGTTTTATAACTCTGTCTGGGAACAGTCACAGGAGAGAAGGGAGGAGGGAGACAAAGAGGAAGGATGGGAGGAAGGGAGGAAGGGAGGGAGGGAGGAAGGAAGGGAGGGAGGGAGGGAGGGAGAAAGGAGAGAGGAAAGAGGAAGGGAGGGAGGCAGGAGAGAAAGGGGAGAGGAAGAGAGAGAGAATCTGTATGCCATGGAAGCTTGACTCATACTTGCCGGGGGCTGAATCAGGAAAATATAGGATAAAGGAAAAACACAGCAGAGAATGTCCCAACTCTCTGTGACAATTAGGGGTCCCCATCCTCACTCTCTGAGTAGAAATTGAATTTTTTTTTCTTGAGTGCTTTTTTACAACCATTGTGCACTCCTGGATTGGCAATGCCTTTGACAAAGTGTGGATGATGACAGAAAGGGAAGGAGAAGAGTAAACGTGCTGTTGATATGGTCCTGTCTCACACCCTGGTCCATGCCACCCCACACCCATTCTTTTCCATCACTGACTTCACAGGCTTTGCAGGTGGCTTTTCCCATGCATTCTATTTAGGGTGAAGGCTGCACTGGATGGGGTAGAGAGTGCTTGAGTCTGTTGTTTGGATAATTCTGAAAAAAAAAATTATCTGCATATCCAACAGAAAGATCTAAAATGATGTACTGTTGTTTGAATATCTGTCATGAAGTGTGCCCTTCCGTGCAGCATTTAGCTGAGGATGTCACAATCACCCCTTGCTGATGTCGCCCCCCCCCTTTTTTTGCAGGTACTCAGCTAACTGTAGAAATCCACCCCCAAGATGCCATGCCCCAGCTACTCAAGAAGTTGTCTTTGACTAAACGTACGTATATATGCAGGGCTGCTCAGACAGAGGGCAGGCAGGGAGGGTGGGTGAGTCAGATTCCAGCCCAGACATCTTCTGAGAAAAATCAAAGAGGGGCTTGAGCCTACAGCCTAGGAGAAGGTGGTAGCACAACTATTCTGTCCATGCCCACTGTTTTGGTTCCTTTTCTTATTGCAACTGACAAGAACCAACTTGAGGGAGGGAGGAAGGATTTATTTTGGCCCACGGTTTAAGGAGCTACAGTCCATCGTGATGGAGAGAGCCTGGCAACAGGAGGCTTCGAGATGGCAGGAGTGTGCAGCTGGAATCCTCACTGCCTCACATGGCAGTCAAACAGGAAGCCAAAAGCAGGAAGTAGAACTAGACTACAGACACTCAAAACCTACCCACCAGTTCTCCACGTCCTCCAGAGAGGCTTCGCCTCCTAAAGGTTCTATATCCTTCCAAAACAGCACTAGCATCTGGGGACTAAGTGTCCAAACACATTAAGTCTAAGGGGACACTTCATAGGCAAAGTCCAACACCCAGATTCCACAGCTCTTGTGTCTCTGCAATAAGGCTCGGGCGATGGAGTGTGTAATTAATGGTGCCTTCCCTCGGCTGACTCTTGCTACCAGTGTTTTAAGATGTCGTCTGTAGACTGTCAAAAATCATGGCATGCACAGTGCTGAGCACTTTCCGAGCCTCAGCTTTGTGACCTTCATGCTAGTGCTCACCCCACATTTTTCAAGCCAGCAAAGTGAGGCTGAGGAAGGGGGAATGAGTGTCCAAGAAGTTGCCCAGCCAAGAGAGAAAAGCCCAGGTCCAGCTCCGACACCTCTGGATTTAGTCATAGAATGAGACAGTTGTCAGTATACATAGGCAGGCAGGAATGCAAATGCAATGGCCCTCCATCCCTGCTGTCTTCACCCTGGCCTGCCTCTTGGCTGAGGGGGTACTCATGAGGAAAGCAGGCAGAGATGGCTCAACTTCCCCCCAACCCGATGTACACTCAATGAGGCAAAACCCTACAAGGCTATCCTTGCAATACTCAGCAGTCAGGACCTCAGGAAGGCAGTCTAGTGTGGTTCCAGGGTCCACTGTGTCATTTCACTTAACCTTCTTTTGGATCCTTTCTTTCTTACTTTCTTTCTTTCTTTTTTTTTTTTTTTTGCTTTCTTTTTTTTTCTTCTTTCTATCTTTCTTTCCTTTCTCTCTTTCTTTTTTTTCCATATAGAAAAGGGGGAAAATAAGTAAAGGTCCCTTGCAGGATTGTTCTCAGTTCCCAGTGAGTAGCCCTTTCGTTCGATCTGAAGATGTAGGTAAAGGGCCTATTTCCAGAAATGGCAAGCACCTCTCAACTTTCATTTCTTGCGTTTACAACCTTAAGTGGCTTCTAGGGGCATAAGCCACCTGCCTTGATGCGCCCACCCCCATCTCCACATGGTTTCCTTAGACACCACCTTCCTGAGCTGGCGCTGGAACAGCAGCAAGATTTCCTTTGCTTCTTTCCCAAGGACTCATTGTTGGCTGCCATTCCACCTTAACCCCTCAGAAATCACAGCATCAGACCAGACCACCTGGGGCCCTCTGGGCCCTGAAATCCACACACAGTACCTTCTGTGCCTCTATTATCATTCTTACCCATAGTCAGTTCTTGTCCTGGGAAGGCAGAGAACGGCCTGCATATCCTGACAACTGCAGGTACTGTAGATAACACCATAGGCTTTGGAGTTGAACCTGGGTTTTTATCTCTTGGCTGCGTAACTTTCTTGAACAGTCATTTCTCCTTTCTGAGGCTCACTTTGCTGGCTTGGGAAACAAGGGCGCACACAAGCATATGCCTAACGGGAAGTACTAGAAGAAACTAGTTTGTACCCTTATCATCTGCAGCTATCTTCCACGATGTCAGGATGCACTGGAGGCATGAACCACAGCTCCATGTGGGCTTGCTGAAGGGTGTAAAGGTCAGATCACATTCTGACTCAGCTCAAAGACCATAAATTCCTTTGTTGTCCTTCACTTCCCATTTCCAGTCTCTCCTCTGCCCCTGAAGACCTCGTGGAAGGTCTAGCCACAGTGGCACAGTGGGTGGGGATGGGACCAAGGAGTCCGTGAGGAGAAGCATGAACAGGGTGAGCACTCAGGACTGCTACCTAGAGATCATTAGTGTTTGCTCCTTGTTTCTTCTGAAGTGTCTCTGACCCTTCGGGCTATTACAGGTTTACAAGGTGACAAAAATGGAAACATGAGACCCCGGCAGCCTGGAGGGAAAGATGCCCATGGTGAGTCCAAGGCCTTCTCTGGGGCCTTTGAGAAAACAGTGAGTTGGCCTCATGGTCCACTCTCCAGGCAATTGGCTTACTGGGACATCAAGAATCTGAGACCATCTGTGGATTTGGGAGAAAAGAATCTCATGATTGACTAGTAATGTCTGCCATGGACACAGGTAGAGAAGGAAAATCTCATGTCTGATATTACCCCAGTGCTAAAGATTAACCTCTTCTGATTACAAAGCAGTCCACTATAGGACACTATAGACACTAAAATAGGAATGCAGAGTGATGTTGATTTCGAGCTGGAAATGTAGCTCAGCTGGTAGAGTGCCCACCTCCCATCCAGGAAGCTCTGGGTTCAGTCGTCAGAACCCGATCAACTGGCTATGCTGACAGACTCCTGTAATCCTAGCACTTGGGAGGTGAAGGCAGGAAGATCAGAAGTTCAAAGTCACTCTATGCTACATAGAGAAAATCAGCCAGAACTAGAGACCCTGTCTATACAAAGCAAACAAAAAATAGAAGAGAAAGGAAGGAAGGAAGGAAGGAAGGAAGGAAGGAAGGAAGGAAGGAAGGAAAGAAAAGAAGGTTAAAAAATGTTAACCTTAAATGAAGAACTTGGCTCAGTGGTAGAAAGCTTACCCACCATGTGCAGGGTTCTGGGTTCAATCCCCGCTCTGACCAAAAGGAAAAAGAAAAAAGAAAAAATACAAATAAATAAAATGAAGTCAACTATTTATAAGATGGGGAGCATGTGAGTAGCAGGCTAAGGCAGAGAAAGAAACACTGAATGGGAGGTTATGAGGTGATAGATGGTCCAGGTTGGAATCCTGCTTTTACCCATTTTTTTTTCTAATTTGTCTTATCTAGGCCTCAGTTTCCCCTTTGGTAGGCCAGATGCTATCTACAGCTCCATGCACATCTGCCTATTTTGCTTTAAAACCAGGATAAGTTAATTAATGCTCCTGGTGTTTTAAATGTCTTCATACAAAACTCGTGTTTTCCTATTTGAATCTTATATTATCTGCTCAGAAGGTAGATTTAATGAGGCATGAATCACCATGTGTATTTTGAATATAACATATCAAATATTGTAAAAATGGAAACCAGGGAAGGAGGAACTAACAAAATAGAATTTTAAACCCCATTTTAGAAATGCCATCCTTCTAAACAGGGGCAAAGAAGGGCTAAACTGAGTGGAAGCCTGTGTGTTGTGAAAGTACGCTTGATACCCACTTGTCTCTCTGGTACTCTTGTCAAGCAGTGATGAGAACCAGTCTGAGGAGGACTCTGAAAAATGGGGCACTGAGCAGGAGTTGACCCTTCTGGTGGGGGTGGCAGAACTATGGCCGTCATTGGACCACACAAGCTGGGTTGATGGTTATCTGTGTTAAGACAGCCTCCTCCATCTCCATGGGTGAACATGAACCGGGAGGATGTCACTTCCTGAATCCCAGATCTGCCTCCCAGCACTAACTGGTGCTCTCCTGTGTCCAGTAGGAAAGCCTAGGTAGACGCTGGCCATGACCATACACCAGTGTCCAGTTTTCTCTCTTCCTATCTACCTCCCGTAGGAAGGCTCCTATGGGACCCAGGTGCCAGCTCTGCCAGGCTTTTTTTTTTTTTTTACTATTTATTTATTTATTATGTATACAATGTTGTGCCTGCATGTACACCTGCATGCCAGAAGAGGGCACCAGGTCTCATTATAGATGGTTGGGAGCCACCATGTAGTTGCTGGGAATTGAACTCAGGACCTCTGGAGGAGCAGTCAGTGCTCTTAACCTCTGAGCCATCTCTCCAGCCCTCTGGCGGGCTTTCTTATACCCAGCATGCTTTGAGGTACCTTATGTCAAGCACATGACCAAGGGACCTTCCCTGTTTGAGAATACCAGCAACACTGTAAACAAAACAACTAAATATCAGACAGGGGGTGTCTGTCTGGACACAATTTTGTTAGCCAAGGTCTTTAAGTACTAAATCTTCAGGGTCTCCAAAATAGTCTTAAGTCCCATGTGGATCTTCAAGATGACTATAGGAGTAGTCACAGTTCCCAAACCACTTTGTCCAAAGGAACCTTTCTAGGAGGTACAGCTCTTAAAATGAGTGTTTCAGTGTAAGAAAGGTTAAACAGCCATGGATCCTTCAAGCGATTACAAGGCTTGGCTTACAGTCTCTTCATTGGGACCTCCTGCTGACCTGCTTTCCCTGTGTTTCCAGCCTACCCTTGGGACAAGTCCAGTTTGAAATCCATGTCCCTGGACCTGCGACACTTTGAGAAACTGGATGCCTCTGCCTCACAGGTAGGAGAACCTACCCAGACTTAGGGCCCCACAGGTGACCTGGAGTCCCCCAAGTCAGGATAAGAGAGCTTACCTCCAAGCTTAAACATACCTTGAGTAAACCGGATGAGTGATCTACGACTGTCCATTTCACAGTATATGTTTGTTTGTGGCTTTCCTCTGGCTGTGGTCAGATAACTGATAAGAGGCGAGTTAACGGAGGAAGAGTTTGTTTGGGCTCGTGGTCTGAGGAGGTATGGTTCATCGTGGCAGGGAAGGCCTCGGCGGTGAGGGCATGAGGGGGCTGGACACATTGCAACCCCATGCAGGAAGATAACAGACAGGAGCTGGAGCTCACTATTAAACCTCGAGGGCTACCCTCTGGCGACCTACTTCCTCCAGCAAGGCTCTGCCCCTGAAGGCTCCTCAACCACCAGCTGGGGAGGAAGTGTTTTAACACAGGAGCCTATGGGGGAAATTTCACATTTAACGCACAACAATGCGGGTGAGGAACAGAAGGCCCACGGGTTGTATTAAATCCATAGGTGGTGTTACTTTTCTGTCGCTGTGCTAAAACCCAATGACCGAAAACAGCTTGGGGAGGAAAGGGTTTATTTTATCTTACGACTCGTAAGATCATCATCCAGGGATGTGGGGACAGGAACTCAAAGCCGGAAGCCTAGAGGCAAAATTGGTGCTGAGATTATGAAGGACATCGCTTACTGGCTTGCTCAGCCTGCCTTCCTGTAGCGGCCAGGACTACCAGCCCAGAGGTGGCAATGTCCACAAAAAGCTGGATCCTCCCACATCAATCGTCAGTTAAGACAATGCACTACAAGCTTGTCCATAGGTCAGTCTGGTGGGAATATTTTCTCAGTCAAGGTTTCTTCTTCCCAAATGACTTGAACTTGTGTCAAGTTGACATAAAACTAGCCAGGTTTTTAGTAAATATTAACCATGGCCACAGGCTGCTGCAGCAACCCGGATGCCCACCTGAGGTGGCTCTAGGGTCTGAGATTCGACTGACCAGTAGCCGTGCCCTGTCCAACTCCCCCCACCCACGTCCATACTATTCACCCCCAGACAGTCTCTGCCCTCCTGGGCCCTGCTCCAGCTTCCTGCCTGGAGGAATAGTGGCTGGCCGCAGCTCACATCTTCCCCAGGCCCCAATGCAGTCTGCTCTTTCTGCTCCCAGGTGACAGTCAAGAGTGGCCTGGATGAGCTAGTGAACGACTTGCTCGAGGAAGCCCACAGCGATCTGGAAAAAGTCAGAGCCATCTGGATCTGGATCTGCCACCACATAGGTAAGCCACCAGGGGGCAGCACTGGGAGCGAGCCCCGGGTGCCCCTTCAGTCAGGCTCCAGCTCCTGTTGCCTCCTCAGTGTGAAGAGTATGAGTTAGGTCAGGGAGAAGTACCAACCAAGGAAGGCAAAAGCCACCCTCCAGAGCTGGGCCTTCACCCAGAGGCTGCCTTCCCTGAGTCCTGGGTTCCCAGTGAGCCTGTCCTACAGAGATGAGAACCTGAGACAGGACAGCTGTCTCCAAGAGGGGTGGCCAGAGTTTGAGGAGAACACAGCTGCACGGAGAGCAACACAGGAAGGCCCTAAACCAAGTGCCAGGAAGGGAAGTTACCCACCTCCCTGTCTCCTGCCTTCACAGCTGTGTCCTCAGCCACCGGCTTCCACCTACCAGGGTTCTCAGCGCTATCTCGGGGATAGCTAGGCCCGAGCTCTCCATGGGACAGTCCTGGCAACCTCACCAGGTCCTGACAAGCCACAGAGGGGGCTGCTGAGGGCCTGCAACCCCCGATGATGCCTGCAAACTGGGGAGATGGTGGCCCACCAAGCAGTGGGGTGAAGCCTTAGTCCTTTGGCATGAAAAACAGCCTGTGTCTCACCTGGATTCCAAGGCTTTTCTCTCGTCCTCCAGGTTCACTTCAAAAATGTGCTCACCCAAGGTCTGAACCTGAGGGAGGCTGCCTCCTCTCAACCAGCTTCTTCTTCCTTCCTTTTTTTTTTTTTTTTTTTTTTTAAACTAGACAAGGTCTCATCATGTAGACCTGGCTGGAACTCTCTATGTATACCAGACTGGCCTTGACCATCTGCCCACCACTGCCTTTTGAGTGCTAGGATTAAAGGCATGCACCATGAGGGCCAGGTGGTCCTCTGTGCTTTAACCTCAGTCTCCCTTTTGCCACCTACACAAAAGGTAACCATATCTGGCTAGGCTAAGGTCCTATCTCCACTCATGCCACTGTTTCCACTGGAGCACCACTGGGGGTAGAGGCCATGCTACAGGCTCTGTGGCCTTCTCTTCCTCTCTGAGCTAGTCTTGCGTGCTCACAGCCACCTCCTCTGCCCTCCAGAATATGATGTTGAAGCTGCCCAGGAGAAGGACCGCCAGGCCTTCAAACCCACTCACATCCTGAGGACCCAGAAGACCACCTGTGATGGCTATGCCGGCCTCTTTAAAAGAATGTGCAGGTATATGAAACAGGCAGCTAGAGTCCCCGGGGCTGTCACCCAAACATGTCCTCCTTTCTTCTCTTTCTTCTCTGTGCCTCTGCCCCCATGCAAGGCCTGAAGCTTGAGTTTGCAAACTCTGCTTGGGAATCCAAGTGAGTCCTGAAAAGGTCAATTTCTCCCTTTTTAACACTGGCGTAATTGACTTTGGACCATCTGCCAGGCTTCGCCATGCATTAACATAATGGCAGATGAATGCGCAAAGATAATTTGGTTATAAAAGGCCTCTTTTCTGCCTTCTCCCTTCACTGTGCGGCTGAAGGTTAAAGGAATGCAGGCCTAGAAACAAAAGGACAGTGGCTGCCGGCTCCGAGGGGACTTAAAAGGCTGTCTTTGGGGGGTCTGGGGCATGGGTCTACCTGGAAAGTTCCATTGGTAGGAAAGCTCAGTAAGCAGGCGGTGGTTCTCTGTGTCTCTGGACTCCATTCTCAGAGCTATGGGGTGAGCATGTAGCCCAGCTGCAGGCCTAAGTGGGAAAATGGGCCATGCTACTTCACAGTAACATCCAGATAGTCTCAAGGCTGGAGGAGACATACCCAGCCCTATGTTCCCCTGTCTGAAGCCTTCCGGGTTCTAGGAAACAACCAGGAAGCCCGGGGGTCACGAGAAAGTTCCTTCCTCAGAAACTGAGTGAATGGTTACGACTCTAAAAAGTTCTGAGTGGGACTCAGATTCCCAGTGTCCACCTCTCAGGACTGCAGGTGGCAGTCGTCAAGCCAAACCTAGTAACAGATGATCCTCAGGCAAGCAGCGGAGATGCCTCAGTGTGGGGGGAGGGGCGGCCATGGCTTTGTATGCACTTGTGAGCACCCTGTTTTGAGGTAGGCACAACCCATCCTTAGCCTGATCTCCAGTGCCTCCCAACCCCTGTATCACCGCTTCCAGTTATGGGCAAGTACCGGTTCCCTGGGCCTCTCTAGCCTTGCCACCCAGCTCCCTGCTCCAAACGTCTACTTCCGTGACCCATCACTGGGACCCTAACCCTCAGGGGCAACCTGGACAGGATACATCCTGGCTGTCCCTTTCCTGTCCCACCAGCAGTAACTTTCCCGGTGCCATCCCCAGCCCTAGAGCCAGCTCCCCATTTTGCCTTTGGGTCTCTCTGTTCCTGGGTTCCCAATATCTTCCAAAGTCCTCGGAAACCTGACCTCAGCTCTTCACCCTGCAGCAACACCCACACTTCTGCCCCTCATGTGTATACATCTCCCCTCCCCCCACTTCGCACTTCTCATGGCCCCACCCCAGAGCCTCCTTTCCATCCTTTGACATCCTCCTGAGGCCTTGTCTACTAACTTGTGTGTGTTATATTTAGCTTTCATTTCATAGCGTTTTATCTTAGGCGGTACTGAGGAATCACACCCAGGGCCTTCCCCAGGGAGAGTAAATAATCTACTGCTAAGCTTCATGCCTCCTGTTGTGCTTGAGACAGAGTCATGGCGCTCAGGCTGGCTTTGAACTCACTGTGTGGCCCAGGCTGGCCTAAGTGCTGGGATTGTAGGTGTACAGCAACAGTACTGGCTTTTTTTTTTTAACTCTATTAGATTGATTGATTGATTGATTGATTGATTGATTGATCTCTCTGAAGGGGCAGGTACATACATGCCATAGCCTTCATGCAAAGGTCAGAGGTCAATTTTCAAAAGTCATATTTCTCTTTGTAACGTGGGGTCTCCGTGTCACGTGTTTCTCTCTGGACTTGGGTCACCAGTCTTGGTGGCAAGCGATTTTACCCACTGAGCCATCTTATCAGCCCACTAAAAATTTTTTTTTAATTAAAAAAAAAATATTGTTTGTTGTACACAATGTGCAAATTTTACCAAACGAGGAAAAGAGAGCTAAGTGGTCCTGATCCCTCACCTGGCGATCACCATGGTGATACTTGCATCCCGTGCCACGCTTGTTCCCAGCACAGTTCCTGTCTCTGCTCCTTTCTTCCTGTGTCTTCCTCCCTCCCTTCCGGCCTCTCTGTGAACATCCAGCTCAGAATCTTCCACACACACAGTAGGCATTTGCGGAATGGTGAGAAGTGGCAGGCTATTCCTGGCACACTTGTACACCCCCAGTATGTTTCTGGTGCCTACCTGGCATCGTTCAGAATACGGTTGTTTTCATAGGAATTTGTATATTTAAAAACACTTGGGACTTTTTGTTAATTTATTTCATTCTTTCACAATATCATACATAACGATATAAATCTCCCATGGTCCTCTCTTTTCCTCCTCTGCCTCCCATTGAACCTGTTTTTCCCAACAGGCCCCTCCTATTTTCATGACTTTGGGGGACATTGTATTTAACTAGGGCTGTCTTCAGGAGTAGGGGTTAGTTACTAAGTTACACAAGGGCAACTTACCACTGAGAAATATGACCCTCCCTCCCCCAGCAACCACTAACTGCCTATATCTTCTCAGAAAGGGGTGGGGCCTCGTGAACCCTCCCCCACCCTTGATGGAATGTCCTGGGCTCATTCGCTGGCACAGGACTCCCACAGGTAGCTACAGCTGCTGTGAGACTTGCAAGCGCCTCCGTGTCTCCCTTGAGCCTCCTGGATCACTGCAGAAGTGTCACTTACACAGCCAGAAAGGCCAAGGCTCCCATCCCTAACTGACCACTTACAAGCTTTGTTCGTTTTTGGTAAGGTACCAACAATACCAAGCCTCAGTTTCCTCATCTGTGATTTAGGGACTGTATTGCTTTCGTGTGAGAACAGTAAACCCTTGGAAAGAGGGAACGTGCCATTTGGAGGTACTGCTCAGCTGATTTTGGAATTTTATGGAGTTTTTTAAAAAACTCATAAGCGCAGGAGCATTTTTTCGAAACTTTGCCACTGACTGCCAGCCCACCCACATAGATCCAGAAAACTGACGGTTGCCTGGATTGAAACTGTCAGCTCTCTGACCCGGTCCAGCTGCTTAACAATGGCCCCATCCTGCCCTGCAGCTGATCATTAAAATACGCCCCAACATTTTACATCAGTTGACGTTAGTCTCAGCCCAGCAATAATTATGCACAAAATTCCTTGCGCTGCCTGGGAAGCTCAGCAAAACTCCCTTAACTGTTTAAAGATCAGTAACCCATCCATGCATGGCTCCCCTAAACCCCTTCACCCCCTAAAAGAACCGCCAAACGTTTGGTAAATTCATTAGCTGGTTCGTTAATAACCGCAGGTGCGCAGTCCACACTTGCTGCTGATTTAGTCTGCGGGGCTGTCAGGGTGGCCTCTTAGAAAGCGCTGCGCTGGGCAGCCCAGCGCCCAGCGCTGTTTCCTGCCCTCTCCTCTGCTTCCTCGCAATGGCCTCATTAAAGACTGATTTAATAAGCAGTTGGGTAAGGACTTACATACTTTCAGGCACTATCCGTCTCCCTCTTGTCTTCCCTTAGTTTCCGACCCGTTGTGTTTCGTCAGTGCCGTTCCCTGCCTGCGTAATTGCTGGTCCAGCTTCTTTCTGACTTTCTAGCAGTGAGCATTGTGTCTGCCTTTTGCCTCCATTGCACGCAGCCTTAATTGATTCTGCCTAATCTCCTTGCAGGGGCCAAGGTTAATCCCCCAGGCTCCCGCCACTGAGTCGGCCTGCAATAAATTCTCTCCCCCTGTAATCACGGCCCCAGCGCCACCAGCTAGCAGATTTTCCAGAGATTTGAGATAACCGGAGGTTTATTACCAGTCTGAGCCTTTGACGCTGAGCAGGCTGGTCGTCACCAATCATGTCAACTGCATTTCTATCCATCCGTCCTCTAGTGTCATAAAGAGCAAGGACAGAGGCACGCCTGCTTAGACGGCTGCTGTCGATCAGTGTGGCCACAGTGGCGGCCCAAGCCTTTTGGGAGATGCGGAATCTCCAGGATCCAGATGGTCTTTTCCTCTTCTATTTTTTTCAGCAGTATGAAGACTGAACCCTGAGTCTTGTGCATGCTAGCCAGTTAGGAACGCTATCACTGAGCTCCATCCCCAGCCCTCTGTTAAGTCTTTACTTTGAGACAGCGTCTCTCCAAGTTACGTAGACTGATCTTCAACTGACTCTGTAACTTGGGCAAGCCTTGAACTTGAAATTTTTCTTCCTCAGCCTTCTGAGTAGCTAAGACTATAGGCCTGCACAGTGCCCCCCTCCCTTCCTCCCCAAGCTGTATTGAACAATTTTATTATTGCCATCCCTGGCTTTGTCACATAAGGCCTCTGAAAGGGACACCTAAACTCCCCCTCTTTATAGATATACCAATGGAGGATGCGAATTTGAATTCTCTCACATTTAGTAAATCATCTTTTAATTTCATTGTGTGCCACCATCAGACCTACAAATCAAAACAGAATCCTGCTCTGCCAAAGTCCTGGTGTAATTTGAAAGCTCTCAGACTGTGCCTCGGGATTGCCGTGCCCGGGTTTTGATCTAGCCATTAGCTGGCTGTGCAGCCCCAAGTCAGATAGCCTCTTTCTCTGAACCACTGTCAGACGGGAAACCTTGGAGATCTTGTCTACTGAAGCCAGAGGTGGACAGATGTGTCACCAGGACAGAGAGATCCCTAAGTTTGTAAGAAATCAAGTGCATGTGTCGGGGGAGATGCCATTGCTTATGTCCTGCCGTGACACAGAAATCGTACGTTATAATGAGACAGTGAAAGAAAATCCTGTTTCGTTCAGCATGGTCAAAAGCTGCTGCCTGCAGAGTAGGGCAGAGCAGGTTAGAGCTGTGTCACACAGCTCCTGTGGCAGGGCCTGGACCATGCCTGTGTCCACCAACCATCCTGGTCCTGACCCAATGGCCACCTCCTCAGTTAGGACGGAGGAGGTCACACCACAGCAAGCCTTGGGGACACACTACATCAATTTGCTACACTCAAATCTTTGATAAGTGACATGGGTGCACTCCTGAATGCGAAGGCAGCTTCGGAAGCCAGCCAGGGTCACCAGGCGATGCTGCCTTCCATTTGCCTGCTCAGTACACATGTGTCAGACCCCAGTAGAAAGCCAGGCGTTCTCCTGAAGCCTTGAAGCGTCGGTTGGGTCCCTGTGTCCTAGTCCTGGCCCTGGCCGGGAATGGGCTACAGCTTTTCTCCTGATACCCCGGGGGTCTCGTGAGGTTTGCTCACAAGTCCTGCATGCCAGTTGGCTTTGCACTTTCAGACACACATCCTCCCTGTGCTGACACGCTGACATTGGTACCGTCAGGACTGTCAAAAGGTAAAGCAGGATTCTGGAGCCTAAGGTTGTTGAATAGACGGCCTTGGGCCATGTTTCGGGCCGGCTAGTTAAGCTGTTCACCAAATGGAAACATTTCTCAGCCTGGATGCCATCTTCAACGGTTCTCCCAGTTCCTGCCCCAGAGTCCCCAGCGCTTTGCTTTAGTCTCGTGTTTCACTGACAGTTCGCAGATCTTCCTGCCTCACAAGCATGAGCACTTCTAAGGCGGCCTCTGAGCCTCGTCTTGGAACAATCTCCTATTGTGTTGTTTGTTACACGGCATGTTTTGCTGCGCCCCAGTACCTGCTCCTGTGCTTGGTACCTCATTTATACTGTCAGTGGTCTTTCAAGGACGTGAAAGGGTCATGGATCGTGACCTGACCAGCACCCAGAGAGGCTGGATACACAGTTCTACCATAGTTGTTTTATACCTGTGAATTCTTTTCTTCCTTATAAAAGCTATGGATTATTGACAACACTTTGCATTGTGACTTCTGTCCAATTCATCTTGCGCAGGGCTGCCAGATAATAAAACATCCCTGTGCCATACTCCAGCAATGCATAAACGTACAGCTGAGTTCATTTTTCATCTTAGTTCTGCCACAGGCATTCCCCACGGCCCTTCTTCCTCCTCCTCCTCCTTCTCCTCGGCCTGTCAGAGAAGAAATAACTCCTGGAGATCACTTAATGCCAACCATCCTTTCTTGCCCATAAGGAGGCTGGCAAGATCACTGCAGGTGCCTGTTAGAGGCAGGAATACAGTCCTGGTTTCCTGGCTGCACCCTGACTACCCATGCCAGCCTGGAGCAATAAAGATACATGTCATGGCTCTCCTTTCTTCCTCCCCTGGCCCTTTCCTGAGCTGGCAAGGCCCTTCTTACCTTCCAGCTCTTCCTTTCATTTCTTCTCATGGGTGGAAGAATAGTCCCTAGCACACTGTTTAAAACAGGCTTCTCCAAGGAGGAAAAAGTCCAGTCTGCCTACATGAGTGCCCAGTTTACTCCAGCACCCGAAGATGATGTGGATGCCAAATGTTCCCCCTCCCTTCTTTGATCCTGGTGCTCCGAGCAGAGAATAAGCACCAGAGAACAGTCCATACCCCCGCAGTTCCATGACGCTCTGAGCAAACAATGGGAAATAATTCACTAAAGGCTATAACTTAAGTTGTGTGTATAGATTTTTTTCCAGTTCTAACAGTAACACATAATCATTATTTTAAAATGTTATGCTCTCCTCCTCTCCCCCCCCCCACCTTTTTTAACAGTACTGGGGATTGAATCTTGGCCTGTTGCATGCAAGGCAGAAACTCTGCTTCTGAGCTACAGATCCCCTCCCCAAGCTAAGATGCAGAGAAGTTTAGAGACAAAACTAACCACAATCTCATTACCTAGAGACCAAGACTCTCTTCCAACCCCTCTCTGCCCTCATTCTCCATGCATCCATAGATTTACACTCAGAGAGACTATCTGCAATGGCTTCCTGCCCCAGGCAGACCTGTTCTGGGACTCCTTTTGGACTATCAGCAACAGAAAATCCTGCCACCAAGGTCTAGCTACTCCTGGTGTCTGTCAACAGGGTGTCCCCAAGTGCTTCTGAAGTATTTTTTTCTCAGGGCCCAGCTGCTATAACCTCATGAGCTTCCCTGGGAAGTCCTGGGGGCCCAAAGCCTCTTTGACGCCGTCAGCAGAAGGGCAGAGGCTGCCAAACTCCATCCCCATAAGAAGTCTCGGTAGGAGTGGTCTCAGCATGGCTCTGCGGGGTGAGGTAGGCCAAAGCAAAGATGTGCATGTGAGGCAATGTGAGAAATGAGAATCTCTTCACTGGAGCGATACCACCTTTGCCCCGGTGACTCAACAAATGATGCGTGAGTGTAGATCTGAAGTGTTCAGCGTGGCATTCTACTAAATGCTAGCTAAATACTTGTCTCCATGAGGAAACTTCTCCCTGTCCTCACAGGAAATTCGTGATCACCTTACCCCTTTACTGTTGTTTAACCCACTGGGGTGTCACACCTGATTCATCCTGAGGGTAATCAGGCCCTGCTACCTGAAGCAAGCGTTAGAGAGACACTCAGGGTCAGCACTGAGGGTGGGGTGGTGGATAGTTGCAAAGGGGTTCCATTGAAGACTCCCTTTTGGGCATCCAGGATTCTGTAGGTTTATGTATTTGTTATACCTGTTTTTTCACAAACATAAGGAAAGTGTTGCGTCGAGGCGACTTTTCCTAATTCACAGAGGCAGCACCAGGGCTGGCAGCACTGGGCCCAGCAACTCTGCATGGGACAGACTGGCACTGGCCATTCTTCAATAGCCATGCTGGGGAGGAGCTGCCGCAGACAAGGACCAGAGGGTGTGGGGAAAGCAGGACCTCCGGTGTATTTGCTGATTCACCCCTAGAATGTTGGCCACAGCCCAGACCCGGTTTTATGAGGCCTCCAAAAGTGACTGGTGACCCGACTTCCCCCAAAGTGATACCTGCTTTGCTGTGTGCCATGGGGATACCCAATCGAAAAAGACCCCAAAGCTAAGGCCAACCAGTCAATGTTTCCACTCCTCCACGGAGCAGAGAGAGACTTCAAAATGGTGGCTGCTTAGTTAGGGTCACTATTGCTGTGAGGAAACACCATGACCAAAGCAACCTGGAGAGGAAAGGGTTTATTTAGTTTATGCTTCCACATCATAGTTCATCATAGAAGGAAGTCAGGAAATGAACTCAAACAGGACGGGAACCTGGAGCTGATGCAGAGATCACGGAGGGGCGCTGCTTGCTAGCTTGCTCCCTGTGGCTTGCTCAGCCTGCTTTCTTATAGAACCCAGGACCACCAGCCCAGGGGTGTCCCCACCCACCATAGCCTTGGCCTTCCTCCTCTAATCACTAATTAAGAAAATGTCCTACATGCTTGCCTATAGCCCGATCTTAGGGAGGCATGTTCTCAATTCTGAGGCTCACTTCTCTGATGACCCTAGCTTGTGTCACGATGACATAAAACTAGCCAGTACAGTGGCCCAAGCAGTCAGTCAGGGAAACATTTTAATGCACCATTGTACTTTCTGTTCCCTGTCCGTGAAGGCTAAAACCTGATGGTCAGGTGTCCTGGCAGGAAGCCCATTCTCCCCACATCACTTCTGAACACACCAATTTACCCACCTTTCCTGTCCCCAAACAGATTGGCTTGGTGGGGAATACCCAGGAATGAGGTCTCAGCCACCTCCTGCCCTCACCACCACCACCCTCCTGAGCTTCGCTTCCATGTACAGCTCTTTCATGTTGGTTTTCTTCCAAGATCATCTCGGTTTTACTATTTCCTGTGTTCTTGAGGCCGTCCTCCCTCTTGTCCTCATTTTTCCTCCTGAGGAGCTGCGCATTGGATCATGTCAAGCAGGCCCTGGGGAGACACTTCAGAAGTGAGCTGAAGAGTCTCAGGGGAATAGCAAACTACAGAGCCGCAGCCGGTCTACACAGGCAGGGCCTGCCAGTGCTACGGCCTCACGTCCCCAACCCGAACACTGAAACCCCTACTCAGGCCAATGTCCCATCCCCAGGATTGCTGGCGTACAGTGTGTTACCGTGCCTGGCTACTCCAAGGGAATTGGCTACCAGACCGGGCAAAGCTTCTCCGGGGAGTTTGACCACGCCTGGAACGCTGTATACCTCGAGGGCCGTTGGCACCTGCTAGACAGCACCTGGGGCAGTGGCCTGGTAGACACCAAAACCTCCAAATTCACCTTTCTGTAAGTACAAGGCTCAGCTTCGCCAAGTGTCTTGTCTCTGTGTTGGAGGAGGAAGTCACCTCATGGAAGGGAAGGGCCAGGTGGGAGGGGAAGGCTTGACAGCTTCCCCAAAGCTGACTCCAGATCAGTTGCAAGGAACTGAATTTTCTTGTTACCTCACCTTTCCGAGGCTAGATCTCTCCTCTGACTCCCCGTGGCTCCGTCCAGCTAAACCCCAGAGCCCCCTCAGGTTTGCCCCAGGCTACAGGTGAGGAGGGGCGAGCCTAAAGGAGCCTCACTGCACACAGCTAAGATGCTTGGATGCTCCATCTTCTCCTCCCACTTTCTGTCTGTGACGGAGGAAGAAGGATGTGGTTGGCAGAGGAGAGAGCTGCAGGTGGAGCTGAGCCACCCTTGGCCCTCAGGGTACAGACTGGACTATCCATGATCATCCTCCAAGGCTCGGCCTACCCAGAGCTTAACCTCCAGCCAAGCATGACATCCTCACAGGTCATGCTGTCCCTTGGCAGCCTTGATCCCCCTTTCTTTGAGAAACTGACTGGTGTGTGCATTCGAAACCCTGGCACTCCCACACTCGCCAAACATACATCTTTTATTCTCAGCAGTGTCCCCCGTGGAGCAAAGCCCAAGCCATCTTCCTTTTCTTCTCTTTGTCTCCATCTCTGACCGGCCCTAAGGAGCCACAGAACTTCCCCCACTGCACAGCCCCCTAGGTACAGGGACAAGAAGGGTCCAGTACAACTAGAACACTGGCACCCTGCCTCCCCACCTCTCCCTGCCCTCGTTGTCCACATCTGCTCCATGAATCATGCTTCTGGTCCCTTCAATTTACTGTTGGGCACTAAAACCAGATGAAGCCGTTCTCTCTACCCAACCCTACTCCTAACACCCTAAGGCTCTGAAAGCAGACCACGAGTTTGTGCTGTGGTCTATTCACAGAAAGGGCCTTGGATCTTGTGTGGCCCTAGGGACTGGACACAGCCACTGAAGAGCCTCCAGCGCCCACATCAGGACCACAGATCATACTGCATCCCTTCTGTTGTCAGCAGTGGTTGGGTCAGCTAGACAAAGGTTTCCCAAAGCTCCCCCGTGATATAGCTAGCCGTGGGTGAAGGAACTGATGCAGAGATCACGGAGGGGCGCTGCTTGCTAGCTTGCTCCCTGTGGCTCAGGTCTACGCCTTCACAGGGCTCCTAATAAGGTCTTCCTCTGCTCCAGCTACAACGAATTCTACTTCCTCACCCACCCCGCCCTGTTCATCGAGGACCACTTTCCGGACAACAAAAACTGGCAACTGCTGAAGCCGCCTCAGTCTCTGAGGCAGTTCGAGAACAACATGTACCACAAGAGTGAATTCTACAACAAAGGCATGCTGAGTGCTCACCCGGAGATGTCCATGATCCGAACAGGTAAGGAGAAGCGGGTACACCAGGGGGGCCGCCAGTAGTTGCCTGAAGCTCCCTTCCCAGTAGAGTGAGTCAAGAAAAGCAGGGGACCAAGCTAAGCCATCTCCCGTGGCTGGCCTGAGTTGACACTTGCCGTCCCCTCTCAAACCATGGCAGCAGGATGTTTGTGCACACTTTAGGGGCAAGGCCTGATCCCAGCATCACAGTCATGGACCTCAAAGGGCTCTTCCTAAAGGCTGTCCCTAAAACTCAATCCTGTATTCATGCTGCATGTTGAAAGAATATGTCTTAGTGATTTCTCACGCTTCTCTGGCAATCCAGAGCCTGGTCCTGTTGTTGACACAGAGCCCAGCTCAGAAAGCCCAATCAGCCCGCCTTCCCCTTCTCACCACAGCACCAGCTCTGCTATCAGGAGGCCTCCAGGCATCCCAGACAAAAGATTAGGGCTCCCAGAGGCAACCAGCTAGGGTGGCCTGGGGGATGATGGCCTTGACCTCACCCTACCCCGCAGGGTGATGGAGTAATTGGACAGGGCAGGCAGGGGTGCATCTAGGGGGCAGTCTTGCCTCTTGCACTTCCTCGTGGATTTGTTGACCTGTACTCAGAGCTCCCGTGGCCTCTGGTAAGTAACAGGCATGTGGCTGCTCTGGCTGTTGAAGCAGCAGCCCAGGGCAGCTCACTTCACAGCTCATTTCCGGCACCTGGGTCTGATAGAGGGCCGTGGTCCCCACCAGGAGACACTAAACCACAAGAGAGACTAGAGCAGACCACGGAGACATCGCAGACGTGTCGCTGAGTCGAGTTTGCCTTTTTTGGGAGGCATAAAGATGTAAACACCAGATTTCTTAATTTATACTAATCTAAAACCCAATTCCATATTCATGCTACATATTGACAGAACACGTCTTGGTGCTTGTGAGTTGCCTTAAGAATAGGGATGGGAAAGAAACAAGGGAGGGAAGCTGAGGGGGTGAGAAGGAAGGGAAAGAAGAGAACCTCAAGATGGGGTTCAGATCAGTGAATGCAGAAAGGAAAGAAGAGGCAGAAGGGATAGAGAGGTGCCAGCAATGGCTCCTCCAGAAGGTTTTTGGGGTGCCCAGTACTTCGCCTCTTCACCTCAGCACACTTCTGCCAATGGTTCTTTAGGACAGGCACCAAGCCCTCCCCAGAGAGTCCACAGCCCAGGCAAAGGCAGGTAAAGTGCTCACATGATTCATTCCGAAAATGATGGGTTCTCTGAAAGAGGCCCCCAGCATCCTTCCGGCACATCCAGCTCAGCGGAAGGGCTGAGGCAGGCTCCCTGGGGCCAGGTGTCTGGGGTGAGTCCTGGCCATTTGTGGAATGGAGGATTCACAGTGAACATGAACCAAGCAGCCTTCTCTCTCGCCTGCCTCCATCCAGGAGCCGAGCTGGAGAAGTTGCTGGGTAGAGAGAGGGTGAGGTGCCCAGCTTCTCACAGAAGGCCAGGCGGGGCTTTCAGAGCAAACATTGCTCTGGGGAGCCAGAAAAGCCCAGATAGAAAAACCTTCATGAGCTGCAATAGCACATGGAAAACAATGACCAGATAAAGGAATAGAAACGTGCATGTCAAGGGGGAGCTGGGATGAGAGGGGATGGACACACTGACTTCTCAAGGCCCATTCCAGAAACACGGTTATGGTACCCCTGTGTGAGAAGCAAGTAATGGCGAGGGGAGAACAGAGAAATTCCCTGATAATAGTCCTGGACCTAGAATGCTGGAGTGAAGCTCCTCCAGCTGGTTCTGGTATTGTATTCATATGACAGGTGCTGACGCCATCACTACAGGGAAGTGATACGAAAGTGATGCTGAAAAGTTGCGGGGACTGGAGAGACAGAGATCCTCTTCCAGAGGACCCTATTTCCACTCCCAGCACCCACATTCTTTAGTGGGCTCACAATTGCCCCTAACCCCAGCTCCAGGGGAGCCAGTACCCTCTCCCAGACTCCACAGGCATGCACACACGTGTGGCATTCACACAAAGGCACACAAACACGCACATAAAAATAAGTCATTTTGTGTTTTGATTTGAAGGGGCTGGCACTCTTTCTGCCCTTTGAACCCCTTCCCTGCTCTCGAATCAGGCGAAATACCCAGGCAGGCTTCATCTAATGTAAACCAAATGGGATAGTGAAAAAAAAAAAACAAACAAAAACGAATACATATGGGTGGGGCAGGATTAGGATTTTTCTGGGGCCTCTTCATCCCAGTGATCAACTCTTTCAAAAAACAATTCACCTAAAAGAAGCAGAGGAATACCAGGCTCTGTGACATCACACAAGTAAAATCAAACTTGGTAGAAATATTCACACCACGGGCCCGGACACACACTGCGAGCCGCGTCTTCCCCGCGGCTGGTTAAACGTTCACCGGCGCCCGGTCTCACCTGACCCTGCCTTCCTCTCCGCAGTGAACGGGAAAGCCACCGTCACCATCGAGAGCCGCGCCCCGACGCTCTTCATGTTCATGCTCAACGGCAAGCAGGAGCACGGGCTCCTGAGCCTCCGGAAGAACGGGATGAAGCTGGAGGTGTACCCCCCGACCATGGGGACCCACAAGCTGCAGATCTTCGCCAAGGGCACCTCGGAGATCTACAGCTCGGTGCTGGAATACACGCTCAAGTGCAACTACGTAGACTTCTCCGTCCGCCTGCCCACCGAGCTCCACCAGCCCGTGGGGCCCAGCTGGTTCTCCGAGCAGATGGGCATCAGGAAGCCCTCACACCTCGATCCCATCATCCACACGAGTGACGGCCGCTGCTCCGTCAGCTTTGGGGTGGAGAAGGGCATCAGCATCCTGGCGTCCCTCCATGGGGACGACGGCCCCGTCACGGAGGAGACGCAGCGGCGATACATCTTCCAAGTGAACCGAGAGAAGAGGACAGAGCTGAAAGTCCAGCTGCCCCAGGCTGGCAAGTATGCCCTTAAGATCTACGTGAAGAAGAGGCAAGAGCAAGGCAACTTTGTCTTCGTCTTCAACTACCTCCTGTGCTGTGCCAACACCAAGGTGAACTGGCCCATGTTCCCCGAGATCTTCGGCACCTGGGGGCAGGACAATGAGCTGCTGGAGCCTCTCTCGGGTGTGCTTCCCGCCAACCGCAACATACCCTTCAAGCTGAAGCTGCCCGGGATCGCCAACGCCCTGGTGAAAGGGCAGGACACGTGGCCCCTGACCCTTAACCCCGAGGGCTACTGGGAGGGCAGCTGCAACACAGCTGGCTGCCGAGAAGTCTATGTCATGGTGCTAGAGAACGCAAACCACAACTTCTACTCGTACATCCTGAAGTACAAAGTGAACGACCAGTGAGGGGCCCGCAGACATACAGCCTCCCCGGGGCTGAGGTCAGCCCTGCCCAGGGAGGGCCCAAGCTGAGTGCAGAGAGCCTGGGATACCGCCGGTCTGCATGAAATCATTTCTGGGCTTCTGCCTCAGTTTCCCTGCTCTGCCACGGGCATTGAGGGGTTTGTGCTGCTGAAGGCTTCACTCAGTGCGGTTGTGGATAAAGGGACAGAGGCAAAGGTCCCCTAGAAGGAAAAGGTGCTATGTAAATCCAAGGTATTGTGGGGTGTGTACCTGTGCCTGCTTTTTTGTCAGTACTTTGTTGTTGCAGAGCTGGGTGGGAAAGCAGAGATGTTGCCCACGCTGAAAGCTTTCCACACAGTGCCCAGAGAGTTCCCCCTTCCTGCCCGGTGATGTCAGAGGCTGAGTCTATCAGAGAGGTCAGTCCTCCCCCCCAAGCAACACAGTGTGTCTCCACGACTTCTGGCCCCCAGGAATGTTGGACCTGCCTGCCTCCCACATTCCCAGCGCCTGTATTAGCGGCTTCATGCTCTTCAAGAGCCTGCAAAAAGAGATGTGGAAAAGAAGCTGGCTGGCCCTCAGCCAACTGGGGTCTGTCATCTCCCGATCCCTTGAGTCTCTGACATGTGCCGGGGGCAGAAAAACAGCCATGCACACACACGGATGTCCTGAGTGGGGACCAGGAATGGACTGATGTTTTTGGAAGTCCGGCGGCCCACACTTAAGGGTGAAGATCCCCAATTCTGTGTGCCTACCAGAGTTCAGCCCAGGGCCTAGGGATGCCCTCCTAGCCTGAGCCTAGGCCCGTCATCAGTTTTTCACTGGGGCTTCAGATGCCTATACAGCCTGTCGGGAGCCTTTGGTGGGCTGAAGTCGATGAGCATGTTGGAGACCTGGGCCCTGAGTGTTTGTACCAGAAAAGCCCTATCATAGCCATTTTCCCTCCTGTCTGTCTCTGAGTAGACAACTCCTGTCCTGAGTTCAGCCTTCTATTGGGAACAGTTGAGATCCTCTTACTTGCTCGGACCTGTCCTAAAAAGCCTCAGCTGCCTAGCTGGCCCTCAGCAGCACCTGAGGCTGGCGTTTCCATGACAACGGCTGAGGGAAAAGCAGGTTTCAGCAGGCAGCAGGCAGGGAAGGCCTGAGGAAGGCCCCCAAGAGGCCACTGCAATCACATCCCAGTGCTCGGAGGAGCCCCAGGATGATCCCCACCAAACATCTGGGCTCTAGGACTCTGCTTACTGTGCCCACCTCGGGGCCCTGCTCCCTCACTTCTCTCTGAGGGCTGTCATCAGATTCAGTGGCAGCCTAGGATAATCACAGCCTCTGCATTCAACTCTTTCCTGGGTTCATCAGACTCTCCTCGGGAAAGTGCTGGATGCCAGGACTGTATCGATGAACACAAAGGGCTCAGCCACAGCCACCCACACCTCTGGGTGGGTGGTCTGCCAAGTGGAGCCTGCCTGAAGACCTGGGATCCCAGAACTTCAGCCCTTCGGCCCTTTCAGCCCCTTTTTCACAGGTCCCCACTGCCACCCACCCGGTACCAGGTAACCACCCTCAACCAGGCTGGGAAGCCTCACTTGTGACTGGCAGGACTGGTAGGGGCTGAGCTGCCTTGACTTGCCTCCAGGGTCCTTTGGCCATCTTGGCCTGACAGCGTCTTGTCACTCCCTCCTGGAAAACGGACAAAATCGGGGAGGGGAGGGGGCAGGCACGAGAGCGTCACCACTACAAAAAGGTGGGGTTTGCACAGCCTGGAAACAGCCTTTTTTTCTCTCACCCCTTTCATTTTATGAGCAGAAAGAAGTGTGCTGTGTCTTAACGAAATAGTAAGTGCTTCTGCGATTCCTGCCACTGGCTAAACAGAGCCCGGACTGCCACCGCTAGCCCTGCAGGATACAATCCCATATTTTTCAAAACAGCATAATTAATCCATTCTGGAGCTTGTAGAGGATGCCACCCAACAAAACAGGAGCTGTCCTCAGCACCGGAGACCCGGGCCGGGCCTCCATCCCAGCTCCCCAGGTCACTCACACGCCCCGCCCTCCTCATTTAACCAGGCAATCCCTTCGTCAAAGCAGCTGTAGGTGCACTCGGGAAAACGCCTGCATTTCTTTCCACGGAAGTAAAGATACACGAAACTAAATCCAATCTTCATGAATTTTTACACGCATGCTGCTCAAGCTGGAAATTTGGAGGTTGCGTTTTTGAAGGCTTTTTATTCAAATCCCCCTCTTTGTCTCTCGGTCCACGCGTCCTAGTGGCCGAGCGAATGGCACGCGCGCCCCCTGGTGGTTAATGTGAGAAGTTGCCAACGCTGCAACACCACCTTTCCACCCCCAAGCTGGATCCCAGCTTGCTAAAAACCACTAGGTGCTCTCTTGTCCCTCATGTGCGAGTTGTGCAGTCCTTGTCGTGGATATGCCGAGGTCAGCGTTGACATGCAGACCGTGAGAAGAACCTGGGGAGACTTCTTGGCCTGGCGTGGTGGTGAGAAGACACAGAATGTGATAAGGAGTGTTTTGCCCAGAAATCCTTTCCTGAGACGGAAATCCTGGACACAGGCCTGCCTGGCTGGGGTCGCTTTGATCAGGCTCATTGCTATGCCAATGACAGACAGGCTGAAACTGATCAAACTCAGCATTTTGCCAGGCAGGCCCCAGGAAAAGTGCCAGGGTGCAGAAGGATGGGGCGTGGTTGGGGCAAAAGGGTGCAATTAAACCCTTTTCAGCTTGCTTCAAAAGTGCCACCAGCTCAGCTGGACCGATTGTGGATACTTTGAGTTCTCCATATGTTACATTGTCCCACCAGGACAGACTCCTCACAGCCCACTGAGATTAAAGAGACGTAAATAGATTAAGTGAAGCATGAAGGATTTCAGCTAGATATAAAGAACCATTTCCTGTTGCGAAGCAGGAGGAGCATGTTGCCAAAAAAAAAAAAAAAAGAAAAAAAGTCTGCGGAATTCTCAGAGGACTTGAAAAGGAGAAGAGCTACCCCAGCTCTCTGGCGTTTTTCTTTGCCATGTTTAATGAAGTTGGTCGGGTTCTCTCTCCACTGATTCTTGAAGTGTACTAGTTGGCCCGCAGTAAACAGGGGGGTTAATGGTGTGACCACATAGCTCATTGTCAGACTTCAAAGGTGGTTTACCTGAGGTCTGTCATTTCTTTTCACCGGGAGTAAGTAAAGCTGCAGAGGTGACTATTTCTCCTGATGTGTGTGCCAGATCGTGTGAGCCGCTGGCTGTGGAAGACGCCGGCTTCTTCACATTGTTGCTGGGGTTGTTTTTCAATAAAATTTATATTCATTTTTATCCAACAATGTAATTATCGATCTATCCTTATCGCTGCTCTCACAAGGAGAAAAAAAAGGAAAAAAAAAAAAAACACTTTCATGTTCAAAGGATGCTTTTAAAAAAGAAATCAATGTCCCTGCCATTTGAATGTGATGGCGAGATGCAAATGGGATGTTGGGCAAATAGTTATTCCACATTAAAGAAAACATAATTAGGTCATACCCAGCCCTCTGCGGCTCACGTGCCTTTGAAGAATCCGAAGGCCGTGTTTTTTTTCATTGAATCTTGTTTAACTTGAACATTTTAAAGTCAGCCCAAATTTCTTTTTCATAAGTGGGAGAAGAAAAATGTGCCAGAAATGTTACCTGTCAACCTACTTTTGGGGGGCTTGAATATATAATATACATTTCTTGATATTCATGTGCACACAAGAAACTTTCCAGGTTGCCCAAACTGATTACTCATAAATTAGACATTTAGGGGACTAGAGAAAAAAAAAAAAAAAAGAAAACTCAGATACCTCTGAGAAGCTGCTGTAACCATGGAGACCATTCTCAAAGCTGTAATGTGAAAGGCAAGAAGATTTGTGTTCCCAAATCTGGGCTTACCCCACACCTCATTGCTAGGCACAAAAAAACGAAATCTGCTACACATCAACTTGGGGGATGGGGGGAGTCACAGAGGCCTGTGGTCCAGGGTGAAGGAAGCTTTTAATGGCACCCCATGGAGAGGTCGGAATAAATTGTCTCCAGGTCTTCCACGCAGTAAAAAGGATGAACTCTGAAATTATTGGAACGGGCTGTGAGTTCCCACCCAAGGGCTGGAAGAGACTGTCCTCCAATGTTCCTTCCAGTCCAGAGACTTTGTGAAGCTGTGTCTTTGAGAAAGGATGATGGCAGGCACCAGCCTGGGACTCTCAGTTTAGGCCACATCTGAGGGGCCCTGCTGTGTTAAGAGCCTGCTCCCAGAGCCCCTAGTGTGCTGCACTGCAGGCCTCTTCTTTCCTGAGGGCAAGGGGATGCACAGAGCCCAGGACATGGACCACGGGGAAACAGCAGCCCAGACAGAGGTCGGCTCTCTATGATTTGCAAACAAAACTAAAGAGGGTCAGCCCTCTCTCAGACATGTCCCCGGATGTCCGGGCAGTCCCTTTCCTTCCACTTCGTCCTCAGACCTCAATTCAGAAAGAGTATTCCGAAACCACTCCAATTCCCAAGCAAGATGCCTGGAGATGTCCTCCTGCGTCCTCCATGATGAGATCCGGTCCATCTGGAGGCATCTTGGGTCTCCTCTTGTCTGCTTCTTCATCCACTAGGAGTTCCCAGGGCCCCCACACTCCTTCTGCACCACTGAGTTGAATTAAGACAAAACGCTTTTCATGATATCCTTCCCAAGGAAGCTCACCATCTCTGGAGAAGGCACTGGTGAGCAACCTAAGTCCTCAAACAAAAATTGATTTTAGGTCTACAATCCTACTTCCTTGTACAATCCTACCTGCCTGATCTCAGGAGCTAAGCAGGGCCAGGCCTGGTTAACACTTGGCTGGGAAACAAAGGCTTCTTCTAATAGAGAATCTAGAGACTGCCCAGTCACCTCTTTCTCCTCTAGAGATAGCGTGCCAATCGCTTCACTCCCTGGACAGTGAAAGACAGCTCTTCCACCACAGTGAAGGAGGGATGCTGGTGAGGGCCCATATAGACAGAAGTCT